CCGAAGCACGATACTTCAAACAATACGGCCACTTCCCACACTGGGCTTCTTAACGTGGAGAACACCGTACTCACAGACATAGTCTAACTAGAGGTGAGCGGTCTGCGCTGCTCGCCTGTGTACCGTCTATCAGTCTGACAGGTCAAAGTCATGACAGTGGCCCGGATGAGAAAATGCTGCAGTTGATTATTGTCAAAACGGGTGTGTGCAAGAGCTTCCCGAAGCACCGAAGCAGGCGTCACGAAGGCTTCCTATGTCGGCTGCGTTTGCCCGCGTAAGAACGTGACCCCCTTACGCATCTTACGGAGCAATTCGCGTTGCCATGTCTGCAGGCGTGTATGGCATCCGCGCCTATCCTCCGAAACTTCACGACGATAGAGGAATTCTATGCGTGTGCCCGTCGGTCCCTTCGTTTGTACGATTCCTATGGCTGGCACGCCGTAGTGCGAGCCACCCATTAGGAGACGGTACATCTCGGCACGGTTCCTCGCGGTGATGCAACGGACCGCTAGCGTCTCAGGACGTTACATGACGTGGTCGCCCGCCGGCAGCGCTTCTTACATACATTATACCCACAGAACGGCTTGTGATGACTCCTCCGTCCCTCCGAGTCTTTCCATGCTTGCAATCCAATAGCCATCATCACGCCATGGTGCACACATCGACGCCCGCGCCCTATAGTCCTCCGGGTATAAAGGTCAACCAAACTGTAAGGACTAGGACACCGCCGCCTCAAACAACCGTTTATCACTTGCAGCAAAATGATCCCCACGTCTTCCTCCACTAGCTTCTACAAGTGAGTCGAATTCCTTCTCAAATAACAATCTGTTCGTTGACCATTGCCCGCGAAACGCCAGGGAGCCCGAGTTCGAGACTATCCAGCTCCATGCCGGGCAGGAAGTCGACTCTGCCACAAACGCACGCGCACCGCCCATCTATGCCAGCACTAGCTTCGTCTTCAACAACTCAAAGGTGCGTCGTCTACTCCGTCCCCGCCGTGTCCATAATAGAATTTCATCTTGTACCTCGCTCTACAGCACGGCGCCGATTTGTTTGGCCTAAGGTACGCCAGATTTATTGCCGTTTATTCTGCATAAACGAGACCGCTCACCGCCGCCTTCCAGGTCGCTCGGTAACATCTACTCGCGCATGGGGAACCCGACTGTGGTCAGATCTACCTCCTTCATTCCGCGCGACGTTCACGAGCTGATCACGGAGCTATAGAGCGTGTTCGAGAGGCGCATGGCAGCGTTGGAGGGCGGCGTGGCTGCCGTTGCGACCGCGAGCGGACACGCGGCGCAATTCATGGCCATCGCCGCTATCTGCCGCGCAGGCGATAACATCGTCTCATCGTGAGTCTGTCATTACGAGACGAAGTGTGCCTTGCCTGAACCGTGCTTGGTGTTTAGGTCCTATCTGTATGGTGGGGTAAGTGACCGATGCTAAGCATACATACCATCCTTCTGAGTTCATAGTGCTGATGACTCCCGTCAGACTTACAACCAATTCAAAGGTGCGTATTCATGTCCGTTTCAGAGAGTTTTCCGCTCACCTCCGCATGTGCAGTCTTTCTCAAGAAGTTCGACATTTCGGTCAAGTTCGTGCACGCTCAGGACCCAGCAGCGTTCGCGGCCGCGATCGACGAGAAGACCAAGGCGCTCTACGTCGAGAGCATAGGGAATCCCAAGAATACAGTCGCGCCTCTCCCAGAAATAGCCAAGGTCGCGCACGATAATGGAATCCCGCTCATCGTCGACAACACCTTTGGTGTCGGTGGTACGCTCGAGTGTTCGATTATGTAGGCCATCTTGACGCTAATGATATGGATAATCCGACTAGGCTACCTCATCAGGCCGATAGAGCATGGCGCCGACATCGTCACCCATAGCGCGACGAAGTGGATCGGCGGGCACGGCACGGTACTCGGCGGGGTCGTCGTCGACGGAGGTGCGTTCCCCTCCCCCTCTCTTCTCCATAGACTCTGACCCACTGGCGCACACACAGGAAAATTCGACTGGGCCGCGTCGGGCAAGTTCCCGGACTTCACCGAGCCAGCCGAAGGGTATCATGGGATGCGCTTCACCGAAACGTTCGGGCGCGCGGTGCTCGCGGTGAAGTGCCGGCTGGACGTTCTGCGCGACATGGGGCCCTGCATGGACCCATTCGCGGCGTTCCTGCTCCTGCAAGGTCTCGAGACGCTCAGTCTTCGCGCGCAGCGGCACTCGGACAACGCACTCGAGCTCGCGCGGTGCGTCTCCCCTTTCCTTCGTAAGCGTGGAGCTAAGTGCTGATTGAGGGTGGGATGATAGGTGGCTAGAACGCCACCCGAAGGTCGCATGGGTCTCGTACCTCGGACTGCCCGCGCATGAGTCGCATGCCGACGCGCTGCGGCTGCTGCGCGTGCCACACGCATTTGGCGGTATGCTCACGTTCGGCGTGCGCGGAGACGCGCAGGTCGGGAGCGAGGTCGTCGACAAGCTGAAACTCGCGAGCAATCTTGCGAACGTCGGTGTGTCCTTTCTTCCTTCTCCACCGGGGGACAATGGGTACTCATGTTGGTGCGACAGGTGACGCGAAGACGCTGGTGATCCACCCGGCAAGCACGACGCACCAGCAGCTGAATGAGGAGGAGCAGCTCGCGTCGGGGGTGACGCCGGACCTCATCCGGGTGTGCCGCAGCTCTACCGATCGTATGTCTCTCCGCTGTACTCATTCTCTCTATTGTCCCAGGTGTCCGTCGGCATCGAGAACATCGCCGACATCATCGCCGACTTCGATAACGCGCTCAAGGTCGTGCCGTGAAGCCGGTGGCAAGCGAAGATCGGGGAAGATGCGTGTATTGAGACAACGGGATACGTAGAAGACAACATGCGAGTGGGGCCCGGGGTACAACTTTGAACAAATAGATAGGGGCCGGATGGAAGAATAGCGGTAGTAAAAGCAAGCGACAGCCTAGGCTCGTGCACGATATACGACATTGCGATACACTGCGAGGGGAGGGAGCGCGTAGCGGGGAGACACAAAGACAACTACGAAAGCCCAGAGCATACGGAAGGGCGAGAGAGGGGGTGTCAGCAGAGGCGGAATGATGAAATAAGTAACGGAACGAGAATGGGAGCAGAGTGAATAGCATAATGATAACCTCGATGCGCAACATGTGACGCATCGCCCACTATTGGAAGTCGGGCGGATACTCGCAGCCGGCCAGTGGCACCAGGCCCTCGGCGGCAGCGTAATAGTCGAGCTCCGGGAGCACGACGGTGGGGACGAGCTTTATCTCGTAGAGCGCAAGCTCCGACGTGGTGAAAGCCTCCTTGGAGAACACAAGGTCCTTGACGGCGTCGCAGTTGTCCTCGAGCCCGAGCTCTGCGGGAAGGCTGTGAAGGGATGGGGCGCACTTTAGTCACAATGCACGGTCTCAGGGGGGCGGGGCCACGACTGACCATTGGACGATCGCACCGCTCTTGGCGATGGCGTCGATAATGGAGGGGAATATTTTGAGTTCGTCAGAGCCCACCAGGGTAGACTCCTCAGAGTGGGAGTCGGCGGAGGGGGTGGACTCCACGGAGGCCTTGTCGGCGTCGACGCGCCGCTGGAGCTCCTCTTCAATCTCGTCGACGAGGGAGGTGTGGATATCCTCCGAAAGAGGCGCGAGCACACGCTGGGGAGCGCATTCAGTAAGGCACGGCGGGGGGCAGAAGAACGAGTGGCTAATCACCGGAAGGCTTTCCCGCGGACGACGCTTGGGGAAGTCCTTCGCCCGAGCGCGACGGGAGCGGAGGCGGTTGGCGTCGGAGGTAACAGCCCCCGGCTTGTGCCCGCTGACGATCTTAGAGAAGGAGGACTTGACCTTAGCGGCCATGGGGGCGACTCGACGAGCCTTGACAGCATTCACGGACGCCATAGACTTGCCAATAGCGGCGGTGACGACGATGGCGAAAGATACCATGGTGGCGTGCGTGTAATGTGAATGTCAAGGTAAAGGGGAATGGGAATAGGGAATGGGTGGAACGGGAGAAGCCTGGGGGCTCGGAAGGGGGCGTCGCCGGGTCTTTTATATGGGGCGGTCGCAGCACAATTCGCATTGGCGCGCAACTGGGAAAAAGTGATCGGGGGGACGGTTTGAGGGCATTGCCTACCGCGGACAAAAGAGAACAATGAGTCTGTTCGAGGCGAGTTAAAGAGTCCCTCGCGCTCGCGGCCATAGAGCAATGCGCATCAAATTTTACGGCCACCCCAGGTTAGCAGTAGGACCGTCGGCGTGATTGGCTAAAAGACAATGGGCCGCCTTGCCCTGCAACGGGATTGCGTCGAGCGGGCTTATCTTCTGCTCATCATTAATGTCCCCTTACCAGAGCGATCCCTAAGCCCAAGCGAGCCCAATAGAATTTGAGTCAGGCATTGTGACTAGCGGGGATCCATGGGTTACTGCGTGGTCTTTGTCCTAACCGAAAGTTCTTATCCCTCTCTGTTGGATATCAAAAGAGTAATCAGTCTATATGGAGTTCTATTGCATGCACCTCGGTTCGGCAGAGTAGAGGTCTATGGTATGTCTGCGCCTGTTTTCCTCCACCGTCCTGCTTGTAAAGGCTGCCATAGGATGTGGCGAGTCGATGATGTCCGGGATATCGTTCTCTGTATGAGAGCCATTTGAGCATGACCTTCCAGCGCTCTAGTCCAAATTTGAACGTACCTTAGGAAATCCTCGCAGCATGTGTGCCACTGGAAGCGAGTCAAGGCAGAACGAATGCCGGCAAGAGCTTAGAGGGGTCGTCCGTTCAGACTCCGCGAGCCAAGTTGGGTGATTGACGCTGGGATACACAAATACAAATAGCTGCAACTTTAGCCACCACTATCCTCTGCCCTCCGCCATCCAGGGTAGCCAAGTGGTGAACTGTACCAGGTGTTCATCGATCATCCCCAAGAGGTGTGCAACATGCGCGCAGCTCTATCACTACACAGTTATCACTGATTCTGTCCCGAAGAGCAAAAACAAAAGCTGAACCTTGCCCGGATTGAACGGACGACCTTGAGGACACTCCAGCAATCTGGAATCTCACGCGCTACCACTGTGCCAAAGGTTCATATCACATCACCACGTTAAGCCAAATAGGACGGGCACATCGATGTATCAAGCCAATGAGGGCGACATCATGGCCACTTGCAAGTGCCGAGTCAAGGGCTTCAGCGAACCGACGTCGAATTCTTCAAGAGACTCGCCGTCGGCCACCCGTATGCCTTAAAAGAACAAACAACCGTGACTAGAGTGGCTCGGTTGCTCGGACTTGGGGCTCTCTGGGAAGTGCCATGCTCAATGTCTTGTAGAAATCCGGGTTTTGTCGCCGGGGCCCGGTTCAACGAGGCCTCAGGCTAGATGCCTTTCAAGTACGATGTCGATGATGTAGACCGTTAGCTGCACAAATTGGGACATAGTACTGAATCACATCGTTCAAAATGTATTGTAGTCCGTGAGTGAAAACTTCGGTGGAAACTGGTGATGTTGTCCTAAGGCACACTTTCACCATTCTACTACTTGATATTACGGCTAGGTAAGGGGAGTCCGGGCCATTGAGCCTTCACGACGAGTCAGATATCATCGTGAGCTGCGGAAGCAGAGGCGCAGGCATGCGAACGTGCACGCCATCCCCTCACTTCTCCTCCGCCGGCCACTTGTCCCCCACAGCATCGACTTCTGGGCAAAACGACAGCGCGCCCTTCAAGTCCACCATCGAGTCGTCATTTCCGTCCCTCATGACCTCGGTGGTGGTGGTGACCTTGATGTTGATCCCTGCAGATGACATCGAAGACCATTGAGCCTAAAACGCGCCCGCAATGAGCCGCTGCACCCGGAACGCCGCTCACGGTAGACTGCCGGTAATGAGTTCTCACCGACTGCAAGCCCCGGCTCGCTCTCCGGTTCGCGTAGATCATCGACCAGGGGGAGCCCGAGCGAGCCTGTGCGGGCGACTTGTGGAGGTCGGATGACCGCGACGGTGCGTCGGGGGAGAGATACTCGCGGCGGTGGTTGAGCCTCGATGGGGGTCAGCGCTTCTGAGAGCAAGCGGACGCAAGATAAAGCTCACTCAGCAAGGAGCGACACGGCGTATACTGTTGCGTCGAGGGATACAGGTTTTAGTAGATGCTTCTCTCGTAGAAGGAGATATGTACGCACATTGAGTAGCGACGATGTCGACTGCAACGCAGACCCGGCTCTTAGGCCAGACGATCGCCTAGATAGTAGTCAGTTCCCTGAGACACAGGATATGAACCATGTAGGTCTTCTACCCACAAAGATCAAGGAGAGCAGACTGGTGACGCTAAAAGGGAGCTCGTGTCGGCACGTGAAGGTTGAAGGCGGACCAGTATCTCCGCTTACAATATCAGCAGACCTGACACTAGTTAGCCCATCGTGAATGACCTCAAGTTATCGGTGATCTTACCCGTATTCCATGTATATGTTATCAGGACTTTGAGGGTGTGATCCGTCCTGAAGGGCGCATTTAGTCGACAAGTACATACGTGCAAGAGGTGGTAGATGTGAAACCTACTTTTCAAAGTCTGTCCGCTTGCGTAACAGTCGTAATCTGTGGATGAGCGCTCCCGCGAGCAACGCACTTGCCACCATGACTGCTGCTGAATGTGCAACACCGAGTAGCTGCGAGCTCATGGGTCAGACTTAGCCGGTACTACGATGATTTGATTCATGGACTGACCCGGATTTTCCTAACCACCTCGGCGGTGCGCGGTAGGTATCTATCCCCAAAGCATCAGTTTCCGCATTCCCGGAGGTTACAAAAACGCAGCAGTGACTGACAATAGAACAGTAGCAGCTGTGGAGACGACGAAACATTGAACAAGGTCGAAAACATTAGGTTCAGCCTACTCACCGATAGCAGTCCCAAATTGCCCTGCGGTAAGTATACCCTTACGTATGGCTTCAGTGTTTATCGAAAAGCAGCCAGTCGGCGTGCGATAACTCACCGCTCCTGCGACGACTATACACCCATACGTCGGCCACACTATGGGGTCCATGTGAGTACGGTGCCTTCAAAACGACGATGTTCGCGTACTGAGGTAGATACGTCTCGCAAACAGGCTAACCGATAGATCAGCGTGTATTCTGCCGAGTGATAGCGACACGACATACCTCTGAGTGAAACAGAAAATCACTGCCTGTAGAGAACGAGGTCGGGTGAACAACGGCTCTCCACTGGGGCCTGAGAACTCGTGCGACTCACTGCAAACACGTTCAAGATCTACCAAATGACACGGTATGTGAGCGGGTTAGCATTCAGCATGGCTACGATCATTCACGTACGTCCATGGACCTGCATGCTCTCCGTCAGTATCTGTACCTCGCATGATCGCAAGCCACCGGACGTACCAGCGATTCTTCTGTGGGATCACGTCGAGATATCGATCGAGCACGAGAAAGTCGTAGCTGCATATTCCCAACCGCAAATAAGCCCAACTGTACGAAGGAGTAGTGCTTGACATACCTCGCATGCATGCATAGCGCACTATGGATAGTTTCCAACGCGCTAGTCCTACGTGAGCTTGGAACCCACGTAGACCACCGCCCATGTGAACTCACAGGATAATTGAGACCTATAATGGCATGAGTGAGATGTCGCTCGCCTGCATGACACCCGAAATGCTGCGTACCAGTGGTTTATATATCCGCGTCTGCTCTTTCTGGTAAATGCAGAAAGTGTACGTCTGGTGCACGGTCATCCCGTACAGTCTGACAAAGTTGAGCGGGACGTCAGCGAATGCCGTTTTTGATAGTATGGTGGGTGTACAGACATGAGGCCCAGGAAGGTGCCGATGAGCAGTGAGCCAAGGGTTCTGAACTGCTCAAAGTGGTCGTCGGTGGAGGTGAGGAGACCATCGGCATTCGAGGTGGCGTTGGACATCGTGCTGGGCGATGGAACGACGGCTGTTGGACATAGCTGCCCGCTATATAGACTATGATAGACCAGCGTATCAAGATGAGCGATAAGTACAGATAGTCATCATCGACGGTACGCCGCCCATGACACTTGCGGGGAGCAGCCGACCCTGGACATCCGGCGTGCGCGTGGGAGTCGGGCGAAGTGGTCATGGGGGCCCTTGAAAGAGGGCAGTGTAGGTGGACGAGGACAACACCACCTGCGGTGCAACGCGCAATCAGAATAGAACCAATCGATGTCGGGAAGAACCACCTCACAAAGCGCTCTACAACCGCCACTTACGAGTCGAAGGACATATCCTTTAGCGTACCTGGGGGTGCTCTCGTAACCAACGAGCCTCATAGCCATCTGCTCGTTGACGTACACGGTCAATGGAGTGTCTTCGTCGAGGGAGATCCTGTGGGAACACAGTAGGTCGTACATGTTCCAGCGGAAGAGGGGCAGATACTTACTCGCATTCCGGATACACCCAGTATACCCGGCATCATCTGTCAAGCTGTGTTTCATATACGCCCAAACGGATATCTCCGCAAAGGCGAGTAGACCAGACCGGCGGACCGTAGGTGACATCCACTTTCAGCTCACGCGCTCTGGATAAGAAGGTCAGCGGAATTGTGTGCAGTACAATAGTACCCCACTTACCCCGAAAAGAATGCCCAGCTGCGACACGAACGCACCATCCACCAGATCACTCCATGGCAGAATGGAAAAGCATGAGATAGAGATGCATGGTTGGATTATGAGCTACGTAACATGGAGTCTAGCTATACCACTACCGATACAGCGAGCCATCAGTAGTACATCGCGTCCGTGAAAAGTCGTGAATGCCGTCGCAGACGTGGATGGGACATCTAGACAGCGGACAAGCGGACTCAAAACAAGCACACAGCATACATAGACGACGACGACACGAACCAGCGTTACGAGGCGGTATAGCAAGGCAGGGACGCTTACGCCGGCCGGCGCGCACCCAGGCGCGACGCACCCCACTTCCTCGCGGGCGGGGTGACGGTCTGGAACCCGTCGTCGTCCTTCGAAGGCTCCTTTGCAGGGACCGGGGACGCAGGCGCCTTCGCAGCAGGTGGGGGAGTCGCAGCAACTCTCGCAGGTGCAGAGATTGCGGGTGAAGCAGGCCTCGCAGGAGTGCTATCGCCAGCCTCTTTGGCCGCCTGGCGTGCCCGCCAACCGCCTCCTCCACCGCCCGGGGCGGAGCCGAGGGCACCAGGCCGGTACTTGGGGGCAGGGCTCTCTGACCTATCGGGGGTGGCAGTGCGAGCGGGGGGCAAGCTAGCTGTGCCAGGCCGCCGCCAAGCCGCAGCTTCGGGAGCCGCACGAGCGAGGGGCGCGGCGGGAGCAGGCGCGGCGGCTTGCGCCTTCGCGGCTTGCCGACGTGCCATAGCCTCGTCCTCGCGCTGTTGCTGGTGGCGAGCGGCCTCCAGTGCCTGTTGACGCTCCTCCTCGCGCTCCTTGCGCTTGGCGGCGGCGGCTTCCTCTTCTACGCGCTTCTTTTCCTCGGCGACAGCACGAGCGGCAGCTTCCTCCTCTTCTCTGCGCTCCTCTTCTGCGATGCGCTCTGCAGATAGATGGATGAATAGATGTCTGGATGGAAACGAAAATGCACAAACCTGCTTCCAAGCGAGCCTCCTCCTCTTCCTGCTCCCTCTGAATGCGCTCTTCCTCCTCGAGGCGCTGGCGCTCCTCCTCGCGCTCCTTGAGGACGGCGGCGCGACGCTTCGCCTTCTCCTCCGCCATCTTCTTCTGCGCGGTCGCCTGCATGTTGGCAAACTCCTCGCCCCTGCGGGAGTGGATGGACTCCTTGAGAGTGTTGTAGTCACCGAGCATCCGCGTCAGGCGGTGCTTTGTTTCGACGTCCTGCAGGTGAGCAGCGCGGCTCGCCTCCAAGCGCGTCTTCTGTGTCGTCTCGAAGACGGCACGATCGTTCGCCTGCTGTACCTCGTAGTCCTTCGCGAGTAGAGGACGCTCCTCCTTGCGGTAAGCACGCTCGACGTGGTCGAGACGCTTCGTGAGGACACGCATACGCTCGTTGAGCTCCTTCTTCTCCTTCTCGAGCTGCTCGACTTGCATACGCATAAGACTGTCGGTGTTGAGGCTCTCCATGTCCTGGGAAGGCA